ATTCAAAATTAGGAATGCAGAATGAAATTCACCTGTATATTTTTTGGTGCTATGCATTTAATCCTTTTAATTTTATTTTTATTATTTCATTCTCATAATAATTTTCTTCTAGTACCTTGCATGCTAATTATTTTTCAGAGGAAAAAACTAGAGACTAGTAAGAGTAAAAGAATCATTCAGGAAGAGATTACAATTCACAGGAATTAATTTTTTTATGCCATTTCAGTGTTTTATAGTATAATAGGAAGTAAAGTTTTACCATATTTGAATTGCTTTCAAGGCAATAGAAATTATCACATGACAGAAAATGTAACAAAATATTTGTCACTGTTCCCCTATCTTACTTCATCTATCAAAACAACAATGAGATATAGCATCTCACCCCAGCAATAATAGCAAAGTCCAATAAGACAGAAAATAACAAATCTTGGCAAGGATATGGAGAAATTGGAACTCTCATACACTGCTAGTGGGACTGTAAAATGGTACAGTCACTATGGAAAATGGTATGGCACTTCCTTTAAAAATTGGAAATAAAAATACAATTTGATCCAGCAATCCTACTACTAGAAATATATCCTAAAAGGTGAAATCCAGGACATCAATAGATATATGCACATCCATGTTCATTGCAGCACTATTCACAACAGCAAAAAGATGGAAACAACCTAAGTGTCAATCAACAGATGAATAGATAACTAAACTATGATACATACTTAAGGAACACTGTTCAACATTAAAGTATAATGAAGAATCTATAAATCACCTCGTAACATCAACAAACTTGGAGGGCATTATGCTGAATGAAGTAAGTCAATTACAGGACAAATATTGCATGAGTCTGTTATTATAAAAAGTCAAAGAAAGGTTTACCCAAGGAGGGAAATTTTCTTTGTTGGTTACCAGTCACGGGAGGGGAGGAGAGGAACATTGCTGACTAGTTAAGGGACATATGTTGATTTGGGTGAAAAGAAAGGCAATATAACAAAAGACACTAAGAAAGAGGAATGACACTAAGGAAGAGGAAGACATAAAGAGGTGCATAAGAGGAATAGATGATAAAGGTAAATACTATTACATACACAATATTGCATTATCAGTAACAAAAAAACACTAGTCTACAGGTGGATAACATAGGCAGAAGGTAAGAAGATATGGATAGGTGAATGGGAATATACCCATGTTCATACATGGATTAGGAGTTCTAGTGGCATAGTGCCTAAGGCACTTGACTGCTAACCAGAAGGCTGATGGTTCAAACCCACCAGCCACTCCTCGGAAGGAAAAGTGGACAATCTACTTCCATAGTGATACTGCCTAGCAAACCCAAGGAGGAGTCACTATGAGTCGGATATGACTCAACGGCAATGAGTTTGGTTTGGTTTATACATAGGTTTGTCACATGCCAACCTACAATTGTATTGGTATGTGCTACAAAAATATCCATATATGTTATAGAGCTAACAGGGGAAAAGTTAAGATAAATTCTTTGCCATAACTAAGCACTTTGAGGGAGTAAGTCACTGGGCCTGCAGGCTTCGGACCATGGCTCAGAGGACATCAAGCTCAATTGGCACAACATAGTACACAAAAACATTGTTCTGCATCCTACTTTGGAGAGTAGCAACTGGAGTCCTAAAAGCTTATGATCAGCCATCCTAGCTGCAATTATTGGTCTCTCTTCATCTGGAGAAAAGAAGAGTGAAGAAAATCAAAGACATATAAGCAATCATTTCAAAGGACCAATAGACAATGGGAACTTCAGCCTATAAAATCCTGAGACCAGAAGAACTAGATAATGCCCAGCTACCAATGCCAACCACCTGGAAAGGGATAAAAATTGGAGATCCTGGATAGAGTGGGAGAATAAATGTGGAACAAAATTCAAAACCATAAAAATGACCAGAATTACTAGTTGGATAGAGACTAAAACCTCGAAGACTATGACCATGTGTTAATCTTCAGGCCTGCAACTGGACTCACTCCTGTGGGTTAGCTCTCAGGCAAACAATAGACAACCCTATGAGCTGAACACCTAACCCAGGGAAATGTACTCCTTAGAACAATCAACAACCATGAGATTAGAAGGTCAGCATTTGCACCAGGAGAAAGAGGAGGGAGAAGAGCTGTTCCATTGAGGAGATTATAACCAGAGCCATAAAACAAAATGTATATGAACTGTTTAGTGTAAAATGAACCTGCTTTGTAAAATTGCACCCAAGTCACAATTTAAATAAATAAAGCAAATAATTTCAAATAAAAAGAAAAAGTGCCCTTTCTTTTGCAACAGATAAAAGAAAGTGCTGGAAGGTAATGCAATATATAGTTATGTAACGATGTGAGGACATTATATTTGGAGAAAAGCAAAAAAGGGTGGAGTTGATGGTTGGGCCCTAGTAGAATATTGTCACTTATAAATAATATTTCTAAATTTCTTAGTCCATATTTTCTTAAGAAGCCAAAAAGATGTTCTTGAGATAAGTGTTTGCTACAGAATTAAGAAACCTGAAAGAAGAAAAAGTGCATTGTAAATGGAAATGGGAAAAGGCAGGTTTCTTATTGATTCTTCATTCTTGGAATCTCATTAGCTATCAGATGGAACTTGATGACTGCCAACAAATAAACAACATTCTCCCCTATTTTATCTTGTTAAACTGCCCAAAGCCGCAAAATACAGATTAGTCGAAAATGCACTTAAAAAGTTCCTGCTGGAGGTGGTTTTAAAAAAATCAGCTTTAGATACAAAAATTCTTTCTCTCTTTCCTTCAGGCTGCTAACGGATGCACAGAATGAAGCTTATTTTAAAAGCTGGTACCAGAAGCTGCTTGCTGCTCTCCAATTCTGTGCAGGAAAAGCCTTGAGTGATGAATTTTTCAAGGAGAGGAAACTTATCAAAATTCTGGGAGATATAGGGGAGAAAGTCAAGTCTGCCAGTGACCCTCAAAGACAGGTCTGTTGAGAAATGTATCTTCATGTGGTCATGGTACTCTTCTCCTTCTTCTTTTTTTTTAATATTTTGATTCAATTAAATTTTTATTTGAAAACTTAGAAAGTAAATTTCTAGGCTACACTTCATTATAAGACACTAAATCAATTACCTTAATCAAGTTTTTTTTTTTTTTTTTCCTATGTACTATACTAAAGTTAAGGAGCTTTGGTGGTACAGTGCCTAAGCCATTTGACTGCTAACCAGAAGGTAGGGGGTTCAAACCTACCAGCTGCTCCATGGAGGGAAGATGGGGCAATCTACTTCCATAATGATTAGCTACCTCAGAAGCCCAGTGGGGGTTGTTATGAGTCAGAATTGACTCTATGGGAGTGAATTTGATTTTTTTGTACTAATGTTAATGATAATGTCTATCACCAGGACATGGTAATTTGATCTAAGGAAACCTGACAAGAAAGTGTTAACAACAGGTTGACTAAAAAGGCCTAATGAGTAATCTCTTCAAAATGATAAACCAAAAAAAAAAAAAAATGAACTCACTGCTGTTGAGTTGGATCCGACTTATAGCGACCCTTCTTTGGGTTTCCTAGGCAAGTAGATTGCCCAACCTTCCTTCTGAGGAGTGGCTGGTGGGTTTGAAGTGAAATGTCTTAGGCACTATGTCACCAGGACTCCCAATAGCACAATACAAAGTGACTTTTTAGGGAATTTTTGTCCATGGTACAAAATCTAGATCTATATTTTCTGACATTTCACTGATTAAAGACATTGTAAAGACATCTACTGTCATAACACATAAATTAATTAAATGAAAGAAATCAATTTGGGTATAGGTAGTAATACTTTTTATGCTAAAATCCATGATAGTCAAAATAATATATCTCTTTCCTCACTGGTTGGACCTGACTATTCTTTTCCTGGCTCTAATGAAAGAACGGGAGCTCTGGTAGCATAGTGTCTAAGGCACTTGACTGCTCACCAGATGGCTGGTGGTTCAAACCCATCAGCCACTCCTCGGAAGGAAGGTTGGGCAATCCTACTTCCGTAGTGATACTGCCTTGGAAACCCAAGGAGGGGTCACTATGAGTCAGGGCTGACTTGACGGCACATAACAACAACAACAATGAAAGAACATTTGTTCTTTTTAATTATCTGCATCACTAATTCTCTTCACTGATCATTGAATAAGTTCTCTTAAATTCAACATCCTAGATGTGGGGAGATATTGGACAACCATTCATTATATTAGAATATCATTCAATAGCAATTGAGTACTTACTAAATACTAGGAGTTAAGTATGGAAAGATGACTAAAACATGAATCTTGTCCTCAAGGAAGCTCATGGTTTCTTTTCACCCATCTTCTAAATTCAATAGGAATTCTCAAGAAATAAATATGAAAATACTCATAGACAAAATGTCCATGAATTTTCAACCAGTCCAGATTTTTTCTTGCTGGAAGCCACTTCATTTAGTGGAAATGTCAGAAGCTATGGTGCTTCACCTACCTAGGATAAAAGGGAAAATAAAAAGCATAGCATGAAATTCATTTCTAAATTGGGAACATATAAACTCTGGATACATCAAGGACCCTTAAGGTACATAACATGATGAGAAATACAAAATGAATTCTATAATTTCCCCATATTACTGAGAACTCATTAATTATTTTTCAATGGTAGACAAAAAGTTGTTAACAACTAAAATAAATTGATTTTAAAATTACAAAAGTTATCTATAGCTTTGGTCTTTATCCCATATATTTAAGATGCATTCTAAGGTTAAATAAATCTGCTGCCATTTTTTGCATAAAGTTCCAGAGTGATATTGACATTATTCATTCAGATAGATTTCTCTCATGTATACTGCTTTTGTGATAACACCATTTCATATGAAAATAGGAAGCAAAAAAGAGAGGTGAGAGAGGTGTGAGATTATTTCTCACAATATAAGTTATTGGTAGCTGTTTTTTTTCTATTTAAAAAGAAAAAAAAGAAAGACATTTAAATATAACAGTACTGAATGGAGAACAGGTTTTGGTTAAACAAAGGGAGCATAGACTCCCCTCCATGACGCTCAACAGGCAAACTCGGGTATAGATAAGAGAAAGGAAAACAGACACAGAAAGAGTGCATTGAAAACAGGCACAGAAAGAGTGGAATTTTGCCTCATTTCTTCACCTTGCGTGTATACCTTGCTTTCTGGAAGAACTGAATTCTATTACTTACCATGACCCAGGAGTAAAAACTAAGAATGTCTCATGAGTTAATTAAGCATTATTAATATGATGCTCTAATCTTCAGAATTGAGCTTAAAGTAGTTTCCAGAACTGAGGTAGAGGAACTTTTTTTGTTGTTTTGTGGTGAATAGTTGTTACTGTCTCCCTCTCACCTGCTTTTGTCAGGGAGTGCACAATGTTAAAGGTATCGTTTATGTCTGACTTTCCACACATACTGGAAAGTGGGAAAGTGAGTGTCAGAGATAACACTCACTGGTATTTAGAAAATGTTTGCTCACCATTATTACCATTATGCATATGCAATTGTCATTTTTGCTATTATTGTTCAAAATATGTATGAGTCTTTTTCTAAAATGTTCTCTTGGTCTTAAGTTTAAGTGTTTGGAGTTGCAAATTAAGTTGTCAGGAAATTATCAGAAATGGAGCATGCTAATAATTACTTAAAACAGGAATTGCAAATTGGTGGACTGCTGGACAGATCCAGCCCACCATGTTTAGTTTGACCACATACTCTACTTTGATTTTGTTTTTAATCGATCTTAGAAGCTTTTAGAAAAGACATGCACTCTTTAGCTCCCCATTTTTCTCATACTCCCTATTTCTTTTAGCCTGCTGCCTTCTTGTACATGAGTACAACCCCTGCCTGGCCCCAGAGTCATGAAAGTGTGTAACCTCTGAATTAAAGAGTTTATTTAATCAATAAGAAAAGTCAAGCTGTTTATGGTTTCTTAAATACTTTTTCTAATGATTTTTCACAGGAGGTACTGAAGAAAGAAATTGACAGACTTGAAGAATTCTTTCAAGATAAAAATTCTGGTATTTGTCACCTTCCTCTAAACCCTGCCCTTTGCATAAAAGGGATTGACCATGATGTAAGTCCATTTATTCAATAGAGAACTTGAAACTTGAGTATTTTTATTTTGTATTGTTTCATTAACTCTATTTTTTAAGTGGTAAAAACAATCTGTACATTGCCATTGCAGTTATCTCGGGGAAAAAAAAAAGAAAGAAATAAAAAGAAAATGCCATTGTAATCTGTGTGGTTTACTTGATGCAGTATTACCAGTTGGGGCCACAGTGGTCTCGTCATATGATTTGTTAGTTTAGAGACAAATTGTCTATCAGTTCAGTGTAAAACTAAATAAATAACAATATTTCTCACTGAATTGATTTTTCAACTTACTCAGAATGGTTGATTTGGTCACCCCATTCAGGCAGCATTTAATTTCATGCTTATTTAGACCATGTGCATAACCATGCCTAGTACACTAATATATCATTAGTTACAACATCTCAGTTTTGATTCAATTTAAAATTCATCCATGTCCATCTGTCAGTAACCATGTATTTTGTGATTTTACTCCTGCCTAGAAAATCCTTTGCGGTATCGTTAGGCTGACAAACCTCTTCTTAAGGTTCTGTCACACGGTAACTCTTTAGTTAGCCTTCTATGACTTAGAATCACTTTTTCTCCTTTGCTCTTGATGAGCTCCAGTGTTCTCCTTCTCAAAAGTTCAAGAGTAGGAAGATACTAATGGAGAGAAGGGTTGATTAGTGAGATTTAAAAATGAAGAAGTTAAATTGTCATGAGTGTACAATAAATGTTATTTAACTAAAAAGTCATAAGAAAATCTATAAAACAAAGGAAATTTTTAGAGAACAATTATACCATTGTTAGTTTGAAGGTAGAGTATTGCTAAGAACATTTATACCATCATCGTGAAGTTGAAACTGTTCTTGACTTTGCCACCACAAAGACAAAAAAAGACCCTAAAATTTTTCCTAATGTACTTCAAAACCAGATTTTGCAAAATTAAAAAATAAAACATAAAATTCCATAAATTAGTTGTTTATCTGAGTTAAAATCTAAATATTAGCTAACTTTTTTAATTGTGTGCCCTCTAATTATTAGAAATATTCATTGATTAATGCAGAAGGTCTATGAAAACTCAACATTTCATAGTACCTTAGGATAGTACTAATGATAAGGATCCCATCACTCAGCTTGTTGTACTGTGGTGGCTTGCATGTTACTGTGAGTGAGGCTGGAGTCTATGCCACTGGTATTTTGAATACCAGCAGGGTCACCCATGGTGGAAAGATTTCAGTGGAGCTTCCAGACTAAGACAGACTGGGAAGAAGGATGGAGCCATCCAGTTCTGAAAGAATTGATCACAGAAACTTTTGTGAATAGTAGTGAAACATTGTCTGATATATTACTGGAAAAGTTTATGAAGAGCTGTGAAACATTATCTGATACAGTCCCAGAAGATGAGCCCCTCAGGTTGGAAAACCAAAATAACCAAATCAAACTCACTGCCATCAGTCGGTTCCAACTCATAGCAACCTCCCTTGGGTTTCCGAGAATGTATCTCTATGGAAATAGATTGCCCAGTCTTCCTTCCAAAGAGTGGCTGGTAAGCTCAAACCACCAGCCTTCTGGTTAGCAGTAAAATACCTTAGGCACTGTGACACCAGAAAACACTCAAAATAACTGGGGAAGAACTGCCTCCTCAAAGTAAAGTTGACCTTCATGTCATGGATGGAGTAAAGCTTTCAGGACCTTCATTTACTGATGGGGCATGAATCAAATTGAGAATAAACAGCTGTAAACATTCATTAATAATTGGAATGTGGATTGTACAAATTATGAAGCTAGGGAAATTGGAAATTGTCAAAAAAAATGAAATGGGATGCATAAAGATCAATATCCTAGACAGCAGTGAGCTGAAATGGACCAGTATTGGTCACTTTGAATTAGACACTCATTTGGTCTGCTATGCCAGAAATGACACATTGAAGATGAATGATGTTGCATTCATTGCCAAAAAGCATTTCAAGACCTATCCTGAAGCACAATTCTATCAGTGATAGGACAATATCTTACTGAAGATAATTCAAAAATGATTACAGCAGTATATTGACAGGGAAGTTCCAGAAATGCAAGGTGAAGAGGATGTGGAATGAGGGATATCACTACTGATATCAGATGGATCTTGATGGAAAGCAAAGAATACCAGAAGTTTACTTGTGTTTTGTTAACTATGCAAAGGCATTTGTCTCTGTGAATCATAATAAATTATGATAGCATTGCAAAAAATGGGCAATCCAGAATACTTAACTGTGCTGATAAGGAACCTGTACATAGACCAAGAGGCTGTTGTTTGAATAGAACAAGGGGATATTGCACGGTTTAAAATCAGAAAGAGTATGCATCAGGCTTGTATCCTTTCACCATACTATTTCAATATGTAAGCTGAACAAATAGGAGCTCTGGTGGCATAATGATTAAGGCATTTGACTGCTAATCAGAAGGCTGGTGGCTCACACCCATCAGCCACTCTTCGGAAGGAAGATTGAGCAACCCACTTCTGTAGTGATACCACCTTGGAAACCCAAAGAGGGGTCATTATGAGCCAGATCCCACTCGACAGCAGTGAATTTGGTTTGGTTTTTGCTGAGCAAATAATCTGAGAAGTTGGACTATATGAAGAAGCTCATGGAATTGGGATTCGAGGAAGATTCATTAATAGCCTGCGATATGCAGATGACACTGCCTTCCTTGCTGAAAGTGAAGAGGACTTGAAGAGCTTACTGATCAAGATCAAAGACTAGTCTTCAGTATGGATTACACCTCAGCATAAAGCAAACAAAAATCCTTACAATTGGACCAGTTAGCAACCCCATGGTAAATGGAGAAAAGATTGAAATGTCAAAGATTTTATTTTACTTGGATCCACAATCAACACTCACGGACACAGCAGTCAAGAAATTAGACATCCTATTGCATTGGACAGATCTGCTGCAAAATACCCCTTTAAAATGTTGAAAGCAAAGATGTCACCTTGAAGACTAAAGTGTGCCTAACTCAGGCTATGATATTTCCAGTTGCCTTATATGCATGTGAAACCTGGACAATGAATAAGGAAGATTGATGAAGAATTGAGGGCCTTTGAATTGTGGTGTTGGTGAAAAATATTGAAAATACCATGGACTGCCAGAAGAATGAACAAATCTTTTCTGGAAGAAGTGTAGCCAGAATGCTCCTTAGAGGTGAGAATTGCCAGACTTTGCCTCATCTTCTTTGGTCATATGGTCAGAAAGGACCATTCTCTGGAGAAGGATATCATACTTGTTAAACTGGAGCATCAGAGAAAAGGGTGAAGACCCTCAACAAGATGGATTGATACAGTGGTTGCAAGATGAACTCAAGTGTAGCAAGAATTGTGAGGCTGGTGCAGTCCTGGGCAGTGTTTTGTTCTGTACATAGGGTCACTATGAGTTAGAATCGTTCAATGGCAACTAACCAAAACAACAATGATAGGGATCACTGAGCCCAAGGCTTTATTTTGTTTATTCTTAAGAAGTAGAAAAGATTTTTTCAATTAAAATTGCATATAACTTTTGGCTTATAAGGGCAGTAGAGTTTGGGGCATTGGCACTGACATGAAGGAATGGCTACCACTGGTGCCCACATAGGTTCTCCTGTGAGTGGGTCAGCCCAGGAGTCACCAGTACAGGACCACACTCTTCTCCCATGATACTCTACACCTGACAGTGTTTTACCTGATGCTCTAAAGCTGTTCCAGATAGGACTGCCTCTTTATCCTATTCTTTTTACCAGTCATGTTTACACAGGACCAGGTACCTGTGGGTATAGCAATGAACAGGGAAGGCATGACCACATAACACCCCACACGTACACTGCTCTCCCTACAAACAGCTTTGAAAAATAAACTCCTAAACCCTGAGTTACAAGCCATTATTTTAATCTGACCAACTGCAGCCGGAATATGCTTCTCCATGTAGTCACAGTGGCCACCAGCAGGGGTGCTTTAGATCTCACCCCCAGGCCATATTTTGCAGGAATAGGAGGGCATATAATGGTGAAGCTGGGTAGCCAAACCAGGGGACAGGGCTCTGTTATCCAGAAGAATCATGTGCCTCTCTCCAAAATTTGGCTGAATTTCAGACATTATGTGACCAGTAGATGTCCAAACCACAGAAGAACTCTGTTGTTGGCAGCTAATTGCAGAGGTACCCACCAAGAACAAGATCTTAAAGTTACTGTTGTTAGAGCAGTTCCTGAGCATGTTTCCCAGTAAATTCTAGACCTAGGGTTTTGCATCATCCTCCAAAAAAAAAACTCACTGCTGTCAAGTCAGTTCCAACCCAAAGCAAACTCTCCTTGGGTTTTCAAGGCATTATCTCTATAGAATAAGATTGCCCAGTCTTCCTTCCAAGGAGTGACTGGTGGGTTTGAAGATAAAACACGCTCAGCATTTCTCAAGCTAAAATAAAGAAAAAATTCAAGCCTCAAATGACAATATTGAAGGGTTTGGGCAGTGTAAGAACACAACATAAAGAATTAAGGAGAAACCTTGTAAATGTGATGAATGTGCAGTGTTCTCAACTCACTAACAACCATAGAATTTATACTGGGGAGAGACCTTATAAATGGATGAGGGTGAAGAGGCCTTCACTGTTGGAAATGTAAGGACTTCTGGCTTCCACAACTCATAATCAGATTATGTCCTTCTCAAGGACAGAGATTATATCTTTCCTTCTCTATTCCAGCTCTTTCATTTCATCATTTGCTTAAAATTGTTCTCTAAGGGTCTTGCTTCATGCTCTACTCTCTCTTGGCTATGGCTCTCCTGATTCAAATCAGTTGGCTAGGGAGGAAAAGGCAAATAATGAGTCTGTATTAGAGCTTAAAAAAAAAAAAAAAAATTGCCTTTGAGTCCATTTCAACTCATAATGATCCTATAGGACAGAGTGGTACTGCCCCATAGTATTTCTAAGGCTGTAATCTTAAAAGATGCAGAAGACCACTTTTTTCCCCACAGAGTGGCTGATAGATTAGAATCACCAACCTTTTAGTTAGTAGCCAAGCAATTAAGCACTGCCCCACCAGGGCTTGTTGTTGTTGTTATGTGCCAGTCGAGTCAGACCTGACTCATAGAGACCCTTCCTTGGGTTTCTGAGGCAGTATCACTATGAAAGTAGATTGCCCAACCTTCCTTCCAAGGAGTGGCTGGTGGGTTTGAATCACCAACCTTCTGGTTAGCAGTCAAGTGCCTTAGGCACTGCACTACCAGAGCTCCCACCAGGGCTTCTTAGAGAAGCTTAAAAATAGATAAGCCAAGTTCACTGCAACTAATTCAATTCCAACTCATAGAGACCCCCATTGGGTTTCTGTACTGTAGTAAATAGTGTGGCTTTTCTACCCGTAAGTCTTTGTAAACTCCAAGGTGGAATTTGCCATGAGCAACTGAGGTGCTCCTGATTGCTAAAGTTGTCCCCTTGGGGTATTTCTGTTGGGAGTGGCACTAAACAACGTTCTGGGACGTTCCTGCTCTCTCTCAGGTGTTTAGAATTCCGATGTTATGATTGGCTAGTTTGGCCACTCTGCTGGACTCAAAAGTAGCCCTCCTACAGGCAGAACTCTCTCTCTGCTGGCTGAGGAAGGACGCACTCCTGAGAGACATGCACTGCTGGGAAAGCGATGCAAGGGACATGCATTGCGGAGAGAGACATCGAGGAACACACACTGCTGGGAGAGAAACTGTGACAGACGGCGCACTGGGAGAGAGATGGAACATTTTTCCTGAACTTGAATTGTAGCCTGATGCTTCCCTAATAAACCCCATAATCTGTGAGTTCTGTGTGGCCATTGCAGCGAATAATTAAACCCAGAAGAGAGGTGGTGAGTGCTTTGGGAGGAGGGGCTGGAGGGAGGAAGCATGTCTGGCCTTGCAGTAATAGGCCTTAGGCTATATTGATGGTGATTCTGTCTTCCTCTTGTGAGGTTAGAGGAGGTCAGAATATATGTCCTCCTTGTCCTTTTTGCAGTTTCCAAAGCTGTAAATCTTTACAAAAGCAGACTGCCTCATCTTTCTTCCACAAAGCAGCTGGCAGGTTCAAACCACCAACCTTTTGATTAGCAGGTAAATCCTTTAACCACTACACTACCAGAACCCCTTAAAAAGTCAACAGGGAAAATCTAACTAGAAAACCTTTCTTCCTGTTTACTAATCTGTGGCGTCACAATCTGCAAACTCCAGCTCATTTCCTAAAGATTTTCTCCTTTAATTGTTTCTACATTCAACTGTTTATAATTGCTTCTAAATTATTATAACTTAATGTATATGTATCTACTTCCATACCAATGTTTTATAGGCTCTGACTGTATGGCATGGTGTCTGTCTTTGTTAACATATAGATAAGAGTTTATACATACTATTTGAATATACGTAATTTCTTTACGTGCCTCAAAAAAAAAAAAAAGTACATTGCATGTGCAAAAACAAAGTATAAAACAATAAATGCAGAGTAGCTCTGGGTGATATGATTAACAAATGCTAAGTCTTTCTTTCAGCCTCTCTTCACCCTTTGTCTCTTTTCTGGATATATGGTGCCTCAAAGGAAACTCTGAAATGGAATGAGCAGAGTTTGAAAACCAGATTCATTTCTTGTCTAATACAGGATTTCCCAATTCAATATCCGTGACAAAAGGATGAACTGATTTCTTATAGTGGGAACTCATTACTTAACAAGTAGCTTCACCAGTTACTACAAAACTCAAATTATTCAGTAAGCTAGGGTTTGTGTGGCTAAGACACTTGCCTGCTAACCAGATGGCTGATGGTTCAAACCCACCAGCCACTCCTCGGAAGGAAGGTTGGGCAATCCTACTTCCGTAGTGATACTGCCTCGGAAACCCAAGGAGGGGTCGCTATGAGTCGGGGCCGACTCAGCAGCACATAACAACAACATAACAACAACAACAGGGTTTGTGTTTGGTTAGGAATTAGGTAAGATTTACATTGATAGGAAAGTTAAGAAATAGATCCTTTCCTCTCAGCTTCTACTGATTTCAAACTTCTCAGGAATAATGGCATTCAACTGATCCTTCAACATGTATTGAGTCATATTTTACTAAATTGGTGAGTGGAAAGCATCAACTCCTTTTCCTTGTTTTAGTATTGATTTAACTTTTCACTGACAACAAGAACTCCCTAATAGCCTAAAGACAGACAGCTTTTTAACACTCAAACAATTGTAAGAAAATGAAGGAAAATAAGCGTCAATGAAAATATAATGGAAAGTAGTCAATAGCACAAAGCTGAAAATGGAGATGCAAAGTGTAACTGAAACAAAGGAGAAGAGGAAATATGTGTTATACTGTTATTTCTAACAGTAAGAAAATGTTGATTAACAACAAGGGAAGGAAAAATTGATTATTTTTTAAAGTAACTGATTAGTGTCAAACACTATAAAAGGCATAATATATCCATTAACTCATCTATTAGAAAAATATGTGAGGTAAGCATTGCTATTCCCAGTTTACACAAGGATATAGACTAGCCCAACATAACACAGAAGTACAAGAACCCAAATTTGAACTCAGGTCTTTCTTAACTCTCTCTGTTTCCTTCAAGTATGCTGCAGGGAAGAAAAATTAAAGGGAAATACATTTTAAAAATAGGGATCTTACCTTTTCACTTTTAACTGACTAGCATAAGCCCAATACCTATTAAAAAAAAAAAAAAAAAACTGTCAAGTTGATTCCAACTCAATAGCAATGCCCATTGGATTTCCAAGGCAGTAAATCATTACAGAAGTAAATTGCCCCATTTTCCTTCCCTGGAGTAGCTTGTGGGTTTGAACCTCCAACCTTCTGGTTAGCAGTCAAATGCTTTAGACACTATGCCACCAGAGCTCCTTTATACCTATATATTGCTTAGTTATTTAAACCTCAAAAACATCGCCATTGTTCAGTGAAGGAAAAATGAATCTGAATATTTACAACCTGCCAAAAGTTTGATATTGTTATTTCAAAGGAATGACTTTCGTTGGTACACTAAACTTAGTTTTGTTTGTTGTTGCTGGGTTTTGTTTTTTAATAAACACAGGGTTTGTTGTTGTTGCAAAGTATAAAAATTATTCATCTGTATTATATTTGCTTCTCTAACAAATTCTTCAAGGAACGCTTATTTCAGGGAAAGTGCTTTTTTTGCTCACTATTTTTCTCTTTTTCTCCTCCTATAGGCTTGTTCGTATTTCACATCTAATGCTTTCCCATTGAAGATTACTTTCATCAATGCTAATCCAATGGGCCAAAAAATCAGCATTATTTTTAAGGTATGGTAGTTCTGCTAGAATAATCGATCCCATAGGCAGAATAATTGATTTGTTACACACACACACACACACATTATTGTAGCTATTTTCCTCTGACAACACAAAGGTTTCTCAATTATGTTAGATTCTGTGTTTTTGCAGAATTACAGTACATGCCAAATAATGATTGACATTAAATCAAACATTACTGGCTTATAGCCATTGAACCTTCAGGGCAAGACTTAAGAGGATATGTTTCAATGAATGAAATTATACAATTACATTTGAGTGACATAGACAACTGAGTGTCTGAACTTCTAGGATATAGTTTTCTTTTGGCATAGATATTGAATTAGAATAAAAATAAGCTGTAATTTCCAATAACATAAATTAATATAAAAGTTCTTATCTATACAAGCATTTGATTATTTTAGTATTTTGGGTTTTTTAAATTTATTTTTATGTGAAAAGTAAATATGGGTCACTTCATTCTTTGTCATGAAAATCAGGGGAAAATAGAGTAAAAGATAGGAACAGGGTTATAAGAAATGTAGAAAAGAGACTGAAAATAGAGCTATAAGTGAAAAGTAAGGTTTCACCAATCATCCAGTTAATTTAATCAGTTGTTCAGCCAATTATGCAATAAAAGCTCAGCGTGGATTTTTTTTGTCCATTTTGACTATTTTAGGGGATAATGATTAGCAAATTCCTATTTTTACTTTGGCCTCTGTAACCTCAAGCATTAGTGGTCCTGTGACATTGCATTTGGTAGGGAACAAAAAAGAAACTCACCCTTGGCAGAATTTTCTGCACATATAATCTGGAAAGCATTTTCAAAACCAAACTGCTTATTAGTGTAAAAGCATAAAAATATCCTTCCCCTTTGGACATAGTCCATTTCCTTCACCTATGCTGGAAAATCACCTCTTTATCATTTCTTATTACTGTCAAAGGCTGTTTTCTCAGACAACTTTTTAGCTGCCTTCATAGTAAGGGAATTCACTGATTCAGAATCTGATGAGCATATACATGCTATTTATACTCCTAGTTAAGAAGCTCTGGGTATTCTAACTACTTCTCAGTGCATTAGCTTATGGCATGCTAAGCAATGTTTCACTTAGAAAGAGATCTTTGTTGGCCAAGTTTGAAATTTAGATAAACGTTCATCCAACCTCTCAACAAGACTCGATCTGAGAAATTGTGGATGGATAATAAATTGAAAGATTATTATCAGAGAATAATGTTCCAAGGAGCATTTTTAATTTGATGGCTAAAGCTTCTGTAATCATTTAAAGGGAAGTTCACTATTTTTTTTTTTTTAATCTTCCATGAGAATCACAAGGTAGTCTTAGTGCTAATAAGACAATCGGAACTACCCTAAGGCAGGCATCGGAAAGAAATGACATATACTACATTTGTTTGCTTTTAATGGAATTCAAGGAGAAACCCAGAGTCTATAATTTTGTTTTTAACAGTCAGGAGATGATCTTCGCCAAGATATGCTTGTTCTGCAAATTGTTCAAGTGATGGACAACATTTGGCTGCAGGAGGGCCTGGATATGCAAATGATCATTTATAGATGCCTATCCACAGGAAAAGACCAAGGTCAGTATAGATTAGAAAGCAGAGTTATCTTGCATTATTTATCTCACATATTCACTAAACTTTCCACAGCCTTAATTTTACTCAACAAATTCAAAAATACAATGAACTATACTTCTTCTTGGGAGCTCTGGTAGCGTAATGCCTAAGGCACTTGACTGCTAACCGGAAGGCTGGTGGTTCAAACCCACCAGCCACTCCTCAGAAGGAAGATGGGGCAAGCTACTTCCGTAGTGATATTGCCTCAGAATCCCAAGGAGGGGTCGCTATGAGTCAGATCTGACTCGATGGCACATAACAACAAACAATACTTCTTAAAAAGAAAAAAAAAAACAAAACTTTATTTTCAAAAAGTATAAGCCAAAATAATTTATGTAAAGAATAATGTGTTTTTAGATGTTTATTAGGATCTTAATAATCTAACTATTAACAATGACTTTTTTGTGTGTATCTCTAAGTATTAGTTACATTAATAACTAATTCATTTATTTTTCTCCTTGTTTTGGTTGTCTAGTGCCACTCTAACAGCAAACACTACAAGTTAATGGCTTTAACAAACAGTGACTATTCTCTTACTTTGGGGGCTACAAGTCTGGGTACAAAGCTCAGGCTCTAGGGGCTGGGTGAAAGCCCCTTGACTTTGGGCTTCAGCTTTGCCTCTCACTCCTGGCCCACTGAAGCTGGAGGCTTCTCTTAACTCAGACAGCTGCTGGCTGCTCAGGCTAACAAACCCAAAATCAACAAGTCCCAAAATTATTAAGCAACATGGTAAGCCACTAGTTCAAGTACAGAAACAGTCCCAAGATCAGCAGATAACATGGTAGACCACCGATGACTCAGACAAAAGCAGTATCTGAATGTGCCAAGAAGCTAGAGACCTTCCTCAAAGCTTCCTCTTATGCACTGGCAGCAGACCACATCCCTATGGCAACTACTCAAGTGCTCATAGCAGATTCCACCATGGAATTGATTACCAATTTCATCATGCAGAATAACTACATCCAGCACCCAGCCACTCAGAACCAGGCCCAGCCAAGCTGATATACAACATTACCTACCACACTCCTTTGCTGATAAAATAACTATATAAAAGCCTACTCATTCAAAACAAAACAAAACAAAAGTCCCCTATTAATATAAAATTTATGAATTAGCAAATAGTTCAAAGGATTCAGAAAATTCTAAATACATTATAAACTTGTGTTTAATTTCAAAATATCTTTGAGTAAAGCATATCAACAGTCAAAAATCTCCACATATGCTAACTTTTGAACATTCATCAGCATTTTTATCCTTTATGAAAACCAGTAAATAAATATGAAAAAATAATTACACTTACACACATTTCCAAAGGAAATGTCAATGCCTACCCAAATTATTACCAAAACATAGAAATAAAAGTTGTGTTTTATTAAAATCATGCTAAATTAAAGAAACAACAATTCTTAAGCTATTTTATAATCTCTTTTACATGTGGTCATTATTGCTTAGGATAGTATTAAGTGGACTGGTATGAATTATAACAAATATGTGTACATAAACACAGAGATGGAATCATGGAACTAGAAAAGGGGCCTAGACTATGTAGTCTTTTTTTCTCCCCCTACATTCAATGCAATGATAATTTAAACTGTTGTTGTTGTTATGTGCCGTCAAGTCAAACCCGACTCATAGCGACCCCTCCTTGGGTTTCTGAGGCAGTATCACTACGGAAGTAGGATTGCC